TCACCTCAGAATGACAATGACTCACCTCAGAACGACAGTGACTCACCTCAGAACGACAGTGACTCACCTCAGAACGACAGTGACTCACCTCACAACGACAGTGACTCACCTCAGAACGGCAGTGACTCACCTCAGAACGGCAGTGACTCACCTCAGAACGACAATGACTCACCTCAGAACGACAGTGACTCACCTCAGAACGGCAGTGACTCACCTCAGAACGGCAGTGACTCACCTCAGAACGACAGTGACTCACCTCAGAACGACAGTGACTCACCTCAGAACGACAGTGACTCACCTCAGAACGACAGTGACTCACCTCAGAACGACAGTGACTCACTTCAGAACGACAGTGACTCACCTCAGAACGACAGTGACTCACCTCAGCACGACAGTGACTCACCTCAGAACGACAGTGACTCACCTCAGAACGACAGTGACTCACGTCAGAACGAGAGTGACTCACCTCAGAACGAGAGTGACTCACCTCAGAACGAGAGTGACTCACCTCAGAACGACAATGACTCACCTCAGAACGACAGTGACTCACCTCAGAATGACAATGACTCACCTCAGAACGACAGTGACTCACCTCAGAACGACAGTGACTCACCTCAGAACGACAGTGACTCACCTCAGAACGACAGTGACTCACCTCAGAACGACAGTGACTCACCTCAGAACGAGAGTGACTCACCTCAGAACGACAGTGACTCACCTCAGAACGACAATGACTCACCTCAGAACGACAGTGACTCACCTCAGAACGACAATGACTCACCTCAGAACGACAGTGACTCACCTCAGAACGACAATGACTCACCTCAGAACGACAGTGACTCACCTCAGAACGACAGTGACTCACCTCAGAACGACAGTGACTCACCTCAGAACGACAGTGACTCACCTCAGAACGACAGTGACTCACCTCAGAACGACAGTGACTCACCTCAGAACGACAGTGACTCACCTCAGAACGGCAGTGACTCACCTCAGAACGACAGTGACTCACCTCAGAACGACAGTGACTCACCTCAGAACGACAGTGACTCACCTCAGAACGACAGTGACTCACCTCAGAACGACAATGACTCACCTCACAACGACAGTGACTCACCTCAGAACGAGAGTGACTCACCTCAGAACGAGAGTGACTCACCTCAGAATGACAATGACTCACCTCAGAACGACAGTGACTCACCTCAGAATGACAATGACTCACCTCAGAACGACAGTGACTCACTTCAGAACGACAGTGACTCACCTCAGAACGACAGTGACTCACCTCAGAACGACAGTGACTCACCTCACAACGACAGTGACTCACCTCAGAACGGCAGTGACTCACCTCAGAACGGCAGTGACTCACCTCAGAACGACAATGACTCACCTCAGAACGACAGTGACTCACCTCAGAACGACAGTGACTCACCTCAGAACGACAGTGACTCACCTCATAACGACAGTGACTCACCTCAGAACGACAGTGACTCACCTCAGAACTACAGTGACTCACCTCAGAACGGCAGTGACTCACCTCAGAACGACAATGACTCACCTCAGAACGATAGTGACTCACCTCAGAACGACAGTGACTCACCTCAGAACGACAGTGACTCACCTCAGAACGACAGTGACTCACCTCAGAACGAGAGTGACTCACCTCAGAACGACAATGACTCACCTTAGAACGACAGTGACTCACCTCAGAATGACAATGACTCACCTCAGAACGACAGTGACTCACCTCAGAACGACAGTGACTCACCTCAGAACGACAGTGACTCACCTCAGGACGACAGTGACTCACCTCAGAACGACAGTGACTCACCTCAGAACGACAGTGACTCACCTCAGAACGACAGTGACTCACCTCAGAACGACAGTGACTCACCTCAGAACGGCAGTGACTCACCTCAGAACGGCAGTGACTCACCTCAGAACGACAGTGACTCACCTCAGAACGACAGTGACTCACCTCAGAACGACAGTGACTCACCTCAGAACGACAGTGACTCACCTCAGAACGACAGTTACTCACTTCAGAACGACAGTGACTCACCTCAGAACGACAGTGACTCACCTCAGCACGACAGTGACTCACCTCAGAACGACAGTGACTCACCTCAGAACGACAGTGACTCACGTCAGAACGAGAGTGACTCACCTCAGAACGAGAGTGACTCACCTCAGAACGAGAGTGACTCACCTCAGAACGAGAGTGACTCACCTCAGAACGACAATGACTCACCTCAGAACGATAGTGACTCACCTCAGAACGACAATGACTCACCTCAGAACGACAGTGACTCACCTCAGAACGACAGTGACTCACCTCAGAACGACAGTGACTCACCTCAGAACGACAGTGACTCACCTCAGAACGACAGTGACTCACCTCAGAACGACAGTGACTCACCTCAGAACGACAGTGACTCACCTCAGAACGACAATGACTCACCTCAGAACGATAGTGACTCACCTCAGAACGACAATGACTCACCTCAGAACGACAGTGACTCACCTCAGAACGGCAGTGACTCACCTCAGAACGGTAGTGACTCACCTCAGAACGACAATGACTCACCTCAGAACGACAGTGACTCACCTCAGAACGACAGTGACTCACCTCAGAACGACAGTGACTCACCTCAGAACGACAGTGACTCACCTCAGAACGACAGTGACTCACCTCAGAACGACAGTGACTCACCTCAGAACGACAGTGACTCACCTCAGAACGACAGTGACTCACCTCAGAACGACAATGACTCACCTCAGAACGATAGTGACTCACCTCAGAACGACAATGACTCACCTCAGAACGACAGTGACTCACCTCAGAACGGCAGTGACTCACCTCAGAACGGTAGTGACTCACCTCAGAACGACAATGACTCACCTCAGAACGATAGTGACTCACCTCAGAACGACAGTGACTCACCTCAGAACGACAGTGACTCACCTCATAACGATAGTGACTCACCTCAGAACGACAGTGACTCACCTCAGAACGATAGTGACTCACCTCAGAACGACAGTGACTCACCTCAGAATGACAGTGACTCACCTCAGAACGACAGTGACTCACCGGGCGCCTTGGCCAACCCGCGGCGGGTGGTGCTTGCGTCACTGAGAGGCTGCTGGGTGTGGCCTGCAAAGAGACCATGCGGCGATGAGAGGCGGCGATGCGACTCCTCTCCGTCGGACGACTGCGTGGGACGCGCACCAAACGCCTTGGCCCCTTTTATCTCGCAACAAACGCCTGCTTCTCTGAGACGAATGTGGCCCACGCCGATACCAAGCGACGATGCAAGGCACGCACCGGCGTGCAGCAGCAGTAGCAACACGACGATGACGTGAGAGTAAGTCATCTCGTACTAGTCGCGTACCGAGGAATGGGAGCGCCCACGTGAGGTCACTAGTACTACTACTAGTACAGCAGGACGCTCCCTTGAAGTTGCGAATGCTGAGAGGGCAGTGACTACATCTATAGGCGCGCTACTGCTCTTCCGCGACCCACAAGCCGTCTCACGCCGCCTAGTAGCGCCTCCCCTAGAGGCGGAAGCTGGCCCATGCGGAACTGACTGTGAGGTTCAACTAGCGGCATTACTACCGCAGCTGCAGGGGGGGTGGAAGGGGGGGACGGGGGGAGGGGGGAGAGGTGCGCTGCGCCCAACACTGTTACTCCCGGCGCGTTGGGTTGCGCAGGCATTAAAGATCTTGCAAGTGACTAGCACCATACACGTTCGAATCAAGTTGCTTCTAGCCGCAGTTGTACCGTCACAGCGATGAGCGCAAGCGCCTAGCGCCTCCCCTGGCCCTACTACAAATGCGGAACCGTCTGATGTACCAGCTGCGACGCATTCCACACCACACGCTCGAGCGGTGATTCTAACTGCAGTGTTATCGTAAGAATTGAGGAGTTTTTCCACCCTCCAACTCGCTTCACGGGGTAGGCTCTTCTCAATGAGACCAACTCACTGCCCGTCTAGGCGAGGCCTCATTGGTCGATTGGATTTTCAACAACTCCTTTCTTGGCCTTTCTGGTTGGTTGGTTAGAGCCTTGCCCTGTGAATCCAGTAGTTGGGTGAAACCCCCCCCCCTCAAATTTACTCACCCTGCTGCCCTTCTCTCGAGGTTACCGGTGTTGAGAAAGGTTCCACACGGTATTCTGCTTTTAAAAAGTGTTACGCTACTCCGCAAAGCGGTTCAAGTTCGAGTGTTGAGCAAGTGCGCAGTGTACACCCCAACAACCCAAATCCTCTTTCCTCTTTCCTCTGCAGCTGCCGAGCGCATCATTTCCACGCCAGGTCTAGTCGCTTGTCATGCACTGGAACAGGCGAATGTAGGTCTTGTCACTTGTCCTGCACTCCAAGAAACATTATTCTGTCCGCAAGGCTTTGTGCATTGTTACTGTACTGTACTGGGAACGATTTCCAATGTGCCCATTGATGACGGCGGTCAAGTGTTTTGTCAGCGCCACCGATAGATGCGACGAAAGTCGCCAATCGTATGGATGCGACGAAAGCCGCCAATCGTATGTGGATGCGACGAAAGCCGCCAATCGTATGGATGCGATGCGAGCAGCCCTCGCGCTTGCGACGGGCGAGGTCATACCCGTCAGGTCTAGTCGCTTGTCCTAAGCTGGAACTAGCTCGGGTTGAAGTATCGCCGCGCCTGCCACGGCGACACGCACGCAGCGCTTTCTTGCAACCGTGACGTCTCTCTTGCAATCGGATTGCGCCTGCGCCGCGTTACTAGCAGACTGGCCAGCTGCTCCTTCTGATCCGCAACAGTACTGGCGTGCGGCAACGTTGGAACGTGTGGTGTAGAAAACCCCAAACGTCATGGGGGAGTGTAATGCCTGCACAACCCAACGCGGGAGTGACAGTGTTGGGCACAGCGTAGCTCTCTCCCCCCTCCCCCCGTTCCCCCCTTCCACCCCCCCTGCAGCTGCGGTAGTAATGCCGCGAGTTGATCCTCTCAGTCTGTTCCGCATGGGCCAGCTTCTGCTTCTAAGGGAGGCGCTACTAGGCGGCGTGAGACGGCTCGCGGGTCGTGGGAGAGCAGTAGTGCGCGCCTATAGATGTAGTCACTGCCCTCTCAGCATTCGCAACTTCAAGGGAGCGTCCTGCTGTACTAGTAGTAGTACTAGTGACCTCACGTGGGCACTCCCCTTCCTCGGTACGCGACTAGTACGAAATGACTTGCTCTCACGTCACCGTCGTGTTGGTAGTACTGCTGCTGCACGCCGGCGCGTGCCTCGCATCGCCGCTTTGTATCGGTGTGGGCCACGTTCGTCTCAGTGAAGCAGGCATGCGGAACACGATAGACGGGGCCAAGGCGTTTAATGCGCGTCCCACGCGTTCGTCCGAGGGAAAGGAGTCGCCTCGTCGCGTCTCATCGCCGCATAGTCTCACTGCGGACCACTCTCAGCTCTCTCTGAGCGAAACTATTGAGGCGCCTCAAGAACCACGCCGCGTCTCATCACCGCATAGTGTCGTTGCCCACTCTCAGCTGCCTCTCAGCGACACTACTAGCACCCGCCGCGTTTTGTCGCATGGTGAGCGTTTTGTCACAGTCGTTCGAGGCTGCAGTTTTCGCCATACTTGTCCCAGGGAGCCGCATCCCGACAGTCTTGTTTAAGTCACGCAAGCCTATCCTATCCCGATTTTAACTTGTTTGGTTGTAGTGTTTGATTTCCTCGTGCCCCTACTCCCACGCCTCGTGCCCTCTCCCCCTTTCAGTCTCATGCCCCACTAGCAGGTACGTTCTCTGCCCGGCGCCCGCGTGGTGCGTGGTGGACAGCGACGGCTTCCCCTTTTGCAAGTGCCCGGCTGGTTACGCCATAATCAACGGCAGATGCGCCACAGCGTGGAGCTGGACGGCCGTGGGCACGAACGTGGTGCTCTACCCCGCCTCCCAAGACGACCCCTTCTCCCTCACACCCGTTGTGATTCGCGCCCCGCCTCCCAACACCTCGGCCTGCGTGGAGATACCATCTGAGTACCAGGGTTACCAAATGGCTCTGCGCATCATGTGGAACGTGGATGACGGCGTGAAGGATCACCTGGTGTGCGGCAAGGTGGTGTTCTGGGAGGGGCCTCGTGGCTGCACTGGCAAGAGCGTTACGTACGAGATCCCGGGCAATTGGACTGCTGTGAAGCCCAACAAGTTCAACTATAAAACCACCAGCGTCAAGTGAGTGGCGCAGTGAGGAGGGAGTGGCGCAGTGGCAAGTGAGTGGCGCAGTGGCAAGTGAGTGGCGCAGTGGCAAGAGAGTAACTCGCACAACCTATGCGCCCCTGCAGTGTTTCAGCCGTAGAGTGATTCTGCGTTGACTGTGACTCGTCTTGTCTTGCCTGTTGGGACCGCGTGGAGCGCATGCAGGACGATACCCAACCGCCTTCCTATCTACGGCCGGTACTTGTCGTGTCTGGCGGCCAAGCGCCCGCGTGGGGCTGAACCCTGTGAAATGGCGTCATGCCCGGCCTACTCCACGTGCACCAGTAACAGCTCCTTTGCTGAGTGCAAGTGCAGATTTGGCATGACATTGTACGAGGGCCAATGCTATGGTGAGTCGTCGTGTTGTCATTATGTCGTGGATCATGGGAGTTGAGCTGACTCAAGCACTTCCATCTATTGCCGCTTGCACACGTGAATTGAACCATGTGTGTCATAACAGTTCTGTCTCTTGCATCATGGAAGTGTGTGCTCAATTGACTCACGTGTGCTCAGTTGACTCACGTGTGCTCAGTTGACTCACGTGTGCCCAGTTGACTCACGTGTGCTCAGTTGACTCACGTGTGCTCAGTTGACTCACGTGTGCTCGGTTGACTCAGTATATATATATAGATCACAGTACAAGCAGAGACTACAGCAAGTGTGGAAACGTAGGCACAAGGCCCAACAAGGTACAAAAGCGCTGATGGTCACCAGACGGTTGTGGCCTTGGTGAATATATCAGCACTGTTGGCCCGAGTGGCCACGTGAGCAAGGCGAAGCTAACCACGCTGCTGCAACTCTCGATCCAGGAAGTAGCGCAGAGCGATGTGCTTCGTTCTGTGCTCCAGTCTGTGCTCCTGACACAAGGCAATGGCGGCCTTGTTGTCGACGTACAGCACTGGAGGAGAACGAGGCCGCTCTCCCAGGTCGGTCAGCAGGTAGGTGAGCCAGCGTAACTCCTGTGCAGCCATGGCTGTGGCGTAGATCTCAGCCTCACAACTGGAGCTGAGAACTGAAGACGAGCATGTAGAACGCCAAGAAACTGAACCAGAGCCAAGGCTGAAGGCGTAACCCTGTGACGACCGCTGCGTAGCCTGATCGTCAACCCAAGAAGCGTCCGAGTGACCAGTGAGGACAACGTCGCCCCGTCCTCCAAGCATGAGCCCCATGCCCGATGTGCAGCACAAGTAGCGCAGTACCCTCTTAGCAGCATCCATGTGCACCATTCGGTGCCGACCAGGAGCCATGTAGCGAGCGAGAAGGCCAAGAGGGTACGCGAGGTCAGGACGAGTGCAGGTCATCAGGTACATGAGGCAGCCAACTAGCTCTGGGTAAGGACCACTCGGCTCTACGGACTCGTCCGAAGGTGGAGCTGAGAGCGAGTGACCTGTAGCCAGAGGAGTGGCCTGTGCCGAGGACCAGGTGAAGCCGAAGCGCTGAAGGACCTGCTGCACCATGTGTGACTGAGTCAGGGTGATGGTGCGGCGTGCTCTGTCCCGGGTGATCTGCAAGCCAAGGTAACTGCGCAGCTCACCCATGTCTATGCACGTGTGTCTCTTCTGCAGCTCCGACTTCACCAGGGCGAGAGCCTCAGTGTCAGCAATGGCAAAGACCAAGTCGTCGACGTACACAAGGATGTAGAAAGCGAAGTGTCGGTGCGCAGAAACAGCGACGGGTCAACAGTCGACGGAGTAAACCCAAGAGCCGCAAGTGTCGTCCTCAGTGTGTCGTGCCACTCACGTGGCGCCTGGCGGAGACCGTAGACCAGCCGCCGGAGGCTCCACTGGGTACCAGGAGGGAACGACCCAGTGAAGCCAGGCGGGCCGCGCAGCCAGATCTCCTCGTGCAGGCTGCCCTGTAAGAAAGCTATGCTGAAGTCAAGAGAGTGAAGCTCGTAGTCACGTTGAGCGGCAACGTGCAGCAGCACCCGAAGAGTGGTCATCTTCGGGGTGGGGGAGAAGGTCTGGAAGAAGTCAACTCCCTCTCGCTGACTGAAGCCTTGTGCAACGTAACGAGCCTTGAAGACAGGCGGAGAACCTGGCGGCCGCTTCACCCTGAAAATCCACATGCCGTCGACGATGTTCGCCCCGGGAGGGGGAACCTCATCGACGTACGTGCCTGTGGACTTCCAGGATGCCATCTCTGCGTCCATGGCTGTCTGCCACTAAGAGTACTCACCCGCGATCGCCTCAGCGTAAGAGCGCGGGGTCGGGATGTCTGGTGCATCCGGGTCTCCCTCAGGGGCAAGCAGCATGGCCACGAGATGAGGCGCAGCGACCGCAAGACACTCAAGGTCCTCGTGCTTGTCCTCAAGGACGTCCGTGCTAAGAGCACACTCACCCCCGACGGACGGAGGACAGACAGACTCAAACTCAGCAACAAGACTAGCAGCGTAGTCTAGACGACAGGCAGCAACAAAGTCGACAAGCTCAGGGACTAGGGCAGACGCAGCAGTGGGCTCAAACGACGGGTCAGTGACAACAGTGGCTAACAGACGCGTGACAGTAGGGTGCTCAGTACGAAACAGGTCAGACTCAGGGTCCGCAACGTCAGGCAGAGAGGACGCAGGGGGAGACGGCAGAGGAACACGCGGCAAAGGAGAGGAAGGACGACGGACTACAAGGTGGGTACCGGGGACAGCCGGCTGACACTGACGAGGAACACGACGACCGGAACGACCAGAGCGGACAGGCGAGACAGGATGCAACACAGGCTCACGACGCTCAGCAAGGCCCCCTGTCTGCTCAGTGTACGGAGAAGGAGCAGGCAACGGTGAGCCAGGCTGTAACGGAAGACCAGTAGACAAAGGGAGACTGAGAACCTGGCGAAGCGCAGAGTCAGGCGGTGGCTGAAACGACGGAGACGACGGAGCGAAGAACAGGCGCGGCTGTGCAGTGCCACTAGCACCAGCAGCTCCAGCACCTTCAGCAGCTCCAGTACCCTCAGCAGCTCCAGCACCTCCGGCAGCTCCAGAACCCTCAGTGCCAGCTCCTCCAGGACCAGCTCCACCAGCTGCAGCACCCCCAGAACCAGCACCTCCAGCCTCAGTGCCTCCAGCAGCAGCACCCCCAGACCCAGGGTCTCCAGCAGTAGCACCCTCAGACACAGCACCTCCAGCCCCAGCAGCTCCAGTACCTCCAGTACGAGCACCTCCGAGACCAGCGACTCCAGCACCTCCAGTAGACAAAGGACCAGCACCACTCCCAGCTCCAGTGACGTCAGCAGAAGTACCTCCAGCAGCAGAGCCCCGAGCTCTAGAAGCACGACCCCGACGGCGACCGTACCAGTCGTGCAGCTGCTGTGAGGTGAGAGGCACACGCGGACGAAGACGGCTACTCCAAGGAGACCGCGGAACAGCAGTCGCAGAACCCTCAGGCGTCGCACCCCCAGACTCAGCACACGCAGGCTCAGCACCCCCAGATGCAGCAACCCCAGGCTCAGGACCTCCAGGCTCCTCACGCGCAGGCTCAGCACCTCCAGGCTCCGCACCCTCAGGCTCCTCACGCCCAGGCTCAGTGCCTCCTGACTCCGCACCCCCAGTCTCAGCACCTCCCGGGTCCTCAAGCTCAGACTCCGCACCCCCAGGCTCAGCATCCCCACGCTCCGCACCCCCAAGCTCCGCACCCCCAAACTCCGTACCCCCAGGGACAGCACCACCCCCAGCAGGACCTGAGTCACCAGTGACCTCGGCAGGCGCAGGTATGGGAGGGTCTACCTGAGAGACACCTGAAGGAGCAGGACCTGGCGCGGGGAGGGGGTCTACCTGGGGAGGACCTGGGGCGAGAAAGAGCGGCGGGGGGGGGCGAGGGACAGTGCGGTAGGGAAAGAGACGGTAAAGGGAACTGACTCGTCAAAGGTGACGTCCTGAGATGGAAAGACACGGCGCGAGGCGGGGTCGTAAAACTGCCAGCCAGGCGCATCAGGGACAAAGCCAAGGAAGACGCAGGGAGTGGCGTGAGGGGAGAGCTTGTCCGCGGTGGTATCGTGGACAAAGGCACGAGCACCCCAGACCCGGAAACGCGATGCATCGCCAACCTTCCCCGTCCACAGCAGTGTGGGCGAGGTCTCCGGCAAGGAGACATGGGGCCAGAGGTTGAGCTGATGCGCGGCGTACCGGACCGCAAACGGCCACAGAAAATGGGGGGCAGCTGCATGGATCATGGAGGTACGAGCGACCTCCATGACTAAGCCAATGCGGCGCTCAGCAACCCCATTCTGCTGCGGAGAGGCCGGAAGCGTGAACGTCTGGCGGATGCCGTGCTCCGCACAGAAGGCTGCCAAGAGGTCTGAGGAGAACTCACCACCTCTGTCAGAGTGCAGAAGCAGGACAAGAAAGTCCGACTGGAACCGCTCGCGGAGCTGGAGATGAACAGCGCGGATCCAGGGGATCAAAACATCAGGGACCTCCCCCTTGCGCTGCAAGGGGAAGACCGTGGTGTAACGCGTGTAGTCGTCGACAACCAGCAGGAAGTACCGCTCGTGGCCCTGTCCACGGACGCGGGCTGGGCCCCACACGTCCAGGTGGAGAGTCTGCAGTGGAGCCTGTGTGGGAGGGAACGAGGAGGAGTGAGGAGCGGCGCGCTGCCTCTCCTCGACGCAAGGAATGCAGGGCGGCGCAGGCGAGGGAGGCAGGGCAGGCAGAGACCTGGGAAGGCCAGAGACCAGGAAGCGAGAGTGCATGCTACGAAGGCGAGGCAGGGAGGGGTGACCAAGGCGGTGGTGCCACAGGAGAGTGTCGTGCGACAGCCGGCGACACTCACACTGGGTAGCTACCTGAGCAGACGCGTACAGCTGGGGAGACAAAGGGGTGGAGCGCGACGCAGTGGTGAGGGTGTACAGACTGGACCCAGGCGCACGTGTGAACGTGACCAGGTGACGGCCGGTCCGGGAGCACGTGCAGATCGCCACACGCTGTCCTCGAGGAGTAAAGGTGTCAACCCAGTGATCCTGAAGGACAGCGTTGCTCACCAAGTTCGTAGA